GGCCTTTGCACTGAATTTTGGTGATTTTTTTTTAAGGGCAGGTGAAAGGGGGAAGCGTGTGAGCGGCTTTGTTGTGACGCTTTGGTTTGCACATAGGATCTGTTCGTCCCAACAGCAGAAACGGGGACGGGCCGGCGTCACCGCGGTTAAAGTTGGCGGGTGACGTAGGATCTGTTCGTCCCAACAGCAGAAATGGGGACGGGCCGGTGTCACCACGGTTAAAGTTGGCGGGTGACAAGGGACAATACGGGGAATCTTTCTGGGAAGAGAAGGCTGTCGAAGGACTCACTGGAAATGTTTTCTCTCTTGTCAGTGGGAGTCGATCTTCGAAAACATTCAAACCCAAGAAGAACATTCCCGAGGGCTCCCACCAGTATGAGCTCCTGAAACACGCGGAGGCGACGCTGGGCAGCGGGAACCTTCGGCAAGCGGTGATGTTGCCGGAGGGAGAGGATCTGAACGAGTGGATCGCAGTCAACAGTAAGTCCTGGGACAGAGGGACCTGCCCGAGCATGGAAACCAAAAACCTCTGGGTTTTTATCCTTAGAAGAACCTAGAACTTCCCCAAATTAAATTCTCATCCCGGGCACGCTCTGGTCAGGTAACAGAGTTGGGATAAAGGGAGGTGAGAGGCGTGACGTGCCGACAGCAGAGGCTCCTGTGTCCAAGGGGTGCTCCACTCCCGGAGCGAGCAGAAAGTGAGAGAGAAACAAACCTGCGCCGTTGTGGTTTTGGGGTGGGTTTTTTTTTGAGTTCAGACTTGCCAAAGCGACGAGGTTTGTGAATGGTTATTTTTGTACTGGGGAGCAAACCTCAAATATCGATACCCGAGTTACGATGTCAGCGTTGTTGGCTGCAAAAATGGTGGCAGTGAGACATCTGGATTCAGAAGCGGAGCCGCGTTCTCCACCAAACTCTGCCTTTGTGGAGTTATTTTATTCTCATTTTCTGGCTGCTGCGTGCGTGGCTTTAAAAGCCAAACACCACAAATAGATTTTGCTTTTAGCAGTTGCTCTTCCTGGCCTTAAACTTGGTTTCTTTAAAGGTGAGAAGAGGGAAAAAGTAGTTTTGAGCAATGGAAACCATTAAGTAAGGCCATGAGTGTTCCACCTAAGGAAGGTCTCCTGTATTACGAAAATCAATCGGGTTTTTGAGGTGCTGTCACTTTTTAAAGGTGAAAATGGCCTCAAGCAGCTGTTTCCAGGGTATGGAGAGCTGAATGGAGCGTGGTGCCGTACGGATCGGCCAGGGCAGTAACCAGAGGGTGAACAATCGATGAAGTGATTCAGATTCCCAGCTGGTCGCAGCGTCTCGCAGTCATCAGCCCCGTGACGTCGTGCAGAAGGGGGATGTTTGGTTTTTTGCTGAGTTCTGCAGCACGTTCACTCCCGTGACAGGAATCCCCTGAGCGAGAGCGAACCGGCGCTCCGACCCGCGTCGTGTTTCTGCTCTGAATCAACTCGCTGCGTTTCCTTTCCAGCCGTGGATTTCTTCAACCAGATTAACATGCTGTACGGGACCATCACAGAGTTCTGCACCGAGGCGAGCTGTCCGGTCATGTCCGCGGGACCAAGGTAAGGATGTTACACCCACAGTTTAAATGTGGGAAGGTATCTGGGTGCACACACTGGAGTGTGCGTAGGAAGAAGCTCAGAGGAGGCTGGGATGTGTCTGGATGGAGCTGAGGCGCGGCGGTGCGCTCCGCCGGCGGCGTTTGCCCGCGCACAAGCTGTGCCCTCGGTTAGGGAGGGGAAGCACGAGAGGGAATCTCTTTCACCTGTTGATCGGGTGGGTCCCTGTTGTTTGGCAGCTGTAAAGATCTTTGTCCTGGTTTTTATC